ACAGAATGAGCGGTTTAGACAGCATATGATAGAGTGGATAGAGGAGCAATGTTGCAGAATGTTGCAAGTATATGGAATAGTGGTAAGATACTAATGGCTAGTAAAGAAGCTTTTAAGAGGATAGGAGGCTCAGATTAGGGTGTGTAGTAGAGAGGAGAATACTTCCCCGTAAAAGTTAGGACTTAGACAGGGATGTGGAAATGTCACCATGGTTGTTTAATATATTATAGATGGTGTTGTAAAATAAGGTAAATGTCTAGGGTGTTTCGGAGTGGGGTGGGATTAAATTATGGTGAATCAAATTCAGAATGGGAATTGACACGTTTACTTATTGCTGATGGATACTGTGCTTAAGGGAGAATCTAAAGAAAAATGCAAAGGTAGTAGATAAATTGATGATTGTGTGAAAAGGTAGAAAGTTTGAAAGAGAACATATAAAAGAGTAAGGTGAGAGTATCAAATGATTTTAGATAAAGAAACAATGATATCAAATTGGGGAGGAGGAGTATGGGAAAGAATTGAATTGTTTTCAGATACTTGGGAGTTGACGTGTCGGCGGATGATTTTTTGAAAGGATGAAGATACTCATAGAATTGATGAGGGAAAAAAGGTGAGTGGAGCGTTGAGGTAAAATGTGGAGTCCAAAAAACATATCAATGAGGCAAAGAAGGAATTATTAAGGTATAGTTAGTACCAACACTCTTATATGGATGTGAAGCTTGGGTGGTAAAAGGCAGCAGCGAGGAGACGGTTGGAGGCAGTGGAGATGTCCTGTCTAAGGGCAATGTGTGGTGTAAATATTATGCAGAAAATTCGGAGTGTGGAAATTAGGAGAGGTGTGGAGTTAATAAAAAGCATTAGTCAGAGGGCAAAAGAGGGGTTTTTTGAGGTGGTTTGGTCATTAGAGAGAATGGATCAAAGTAGAATGACAGGGAAAAGCATATAAATCTATAGGGGAAAGGAAGGAGGGGTAGGGGTTGTCCTCAAAAGGGTTGGAAAGGGGGTAAAGGAGGTTTTGTGGGCGAGGGCTTGGACTTCCAGCAAGGTGCATGAGCGTGTTAGATAGGAGTGAATGGAGACGAATGTTACTTGGGACCTGACGATCTGTTGGAGTGTGAGCAGGGTAATATTTAGTGAAGGGATTCAGGGAACCGGTTATTTTCATATGTAGTTGGACTTGAGTCCTGGAAATGGGAAGTACAATGCCTGCACTTTAAAGGAGGGTTTGGGATATTGGAAGTTTGGGGGGGTATGTTGTGTATCTTTATACGTATATGCTTCAAAAACTGTTGTATTCTGAGCACTCTGCAAAAGCAGTGATAATGTGTGAGTGTGGTGAAAGTGTTGAATGATGATGAAAGTATTTTCTTTTTGGGGATTTTCTTTCTTTTTTGGGTAAACCCTGCCTCGGTGGGAGACTGCCGACTTGTTGAAAAAATATAATATATATATTATATATATATATATTTATATTTTATATTATATTATATATATATATATATATATATATATATACAGTGGCCTCGACCAGCGATGGCATCGATTAACGATAAATCTGACTAGCGATACTTTTTTATCGCAAAAATTTTTTGCCTCGATTAGCGCTAAAAAACTCGATCAACACTATTCCTTCGTCTGGATGCGCCCACTTCTGGCCAGTGTTTACAAGCCAGCCAGCCACCGCGGTCGCTTGCAAGCATAAAATCGGAACATTTCATATTATCACAGCCTTTTTAGTGATTGCACCTGAAAAATAAGTCACCATGGGCCCCAAGAAAGCTTTAGTGCCAACCCTACAGAAAAAAAGGGTGAGAATTACTATGGATATGAAGAAAGAGATCATTGCTAAGTATGAAAGTGGAGTGCATGTCTCTGGTGGCCAGGCTGTACCAAAACCCCAATCAACCTCGCTACTATTGGGGCCCAAGAAACGGCAATCAAGGAAGCTGTTCTTGCCAAAGGTGCAACTATGTTTTCAAAACTGAGATCGCAAGTGATAGAAGATGTTGAGAGACTGTTATTGGTATGGATAAACAAAAAAACAGATAGCAGGAGATAGCATCTCTCAAGCGATCACATGTGAAAGGCTAGGAAGTTGCATGACGATTTAATTAGAAAAATGCCCGCAAAATAGTGGTGATGTGAGTTTAATTTAAGGCCCGCAAAGGTTGGTTTGCGAGATTTAAGAATCGTAGTGGCATACATAGTGTGATAAGGCATGGTGAGGCTGCCAGTTTGGACCAAAAAGCAGCTGAAAAATATGTGCAGGAATTCAAGGAGTACATAGACAGTGAAGGACTGAAACCTGAACAAGTGTTTAATGGTGACACTGACAATGTTGTGAAACACGTTAGGAATGTCATAAAGGAAAAGGAGGTACAGGCCCCTTTTGGGCAGATATGTTGTGCGACAGAGTCCAGTGACTCTCAAGCTGGTCCTAGTGGCGTTAAAAGAAGGAAGTAACCCCGAAAAAGGACTTGCCACCTCAAGTCCTAATGGAAAGGGGGTTCCCTTCTAAACACTAAGACCATCAACACACTCCCCTCTTCCCCTCCCTCAATCATCACCAGATCTTCAATAAGGTAAGTGTCATGTAACTGTGCATGTCTTCTTCAGTTTGTGTGTATTAAAATTAATATTTCATGTGTTAAAAATTTTTTTTTCAATACTTTTGGGTGTCTTGCACGGATTAATTTTATTTCCATTATTTCTTATGGGGAAAATTAACTTGACTAACGATTATTTTGACTAACGATGAGCTCTCAGGAACAGATTAATAGCGTTAGTCGAGGGTCCACTGTATATATATACACATATATAGTCACTAGATACTTTCATATAACTGCTATTATCTCCATTCAGCAAGCTTGTCTTGTGTGCGAGTGTGTGGCTTATAACTGTTTTGAGTCAGGAGTCGGCAGCTGTCAAAATGAGATATTGTCTCATTACTCACTCCCTCTCCCACCTGTCAAAACAATGGGGTCAGATGCTGTTTCCCCTCCATTCTATCTAATTATCTTTCTCCCTCATTCCATCTCTTTCAATCTGTCTGTCTATCTCTGTCTCACAGGTACACATAAATACAAGTATGCATATTGTAAATTACCTAGGATAACCCAAAAAATCCAGACAAAGTGCTATACTCTGCTTGAAAATGTGAGTAAACGTGATGATGCAATCTTGTGGCTCTCTCTGAGACAGAGAGCTAGACGGAAAGACAGAGACCTTGACAGACAGACAAATAGACAGACAGAAATGTTTGTGTACCAGCAAAAACAGAGGGAGGGGGGTGGTCATCTAATCTTTTCTTATCAGCTGCCCCCTCCTCCACCCTCCTTTATGCTCATCAAACGTCAGCTCTTATCAGATGTTATCTCCCCTTATCTTGTCACTGCCATGGGGTGAACTGTTTTCCATGCCTCAAGGGAACATCTTATTATTATTCTTCTTCTTCTCCTTCTTCTTCTTCTCCTCCCTCCTATTTCCCTCCCCCCTCCTCCTCCCTTCCTCCTCCTCTTCCCCCTCCTCCTTCTTCCCCCTCCTCCTTCCTCCTCCTCCTCCTTCCTCCTCCTCCTTCTCCTCCTTCCCCCTCCTCCTCCTTCCCCCTCTTCCTCCTTCTTCCTCCTCCTCCTTCCTCCTCCTCCTTCTTTCCTCCTCCTTCCCTCCCCCTTTCTTCCTCCTCCTTCTCCTCCTCTTCCTCTTCCTTCCCCCTCCTCCTTCTTCCTCTTCCTTCCTCCTCCTCCTCCTCCTCCTCTTCCTCCTCCTCCCCCTCCTCCTCTTCCTCTTCCTCTTCCTCTTCCTCCTCCTCCTCCTCTTCCTCCTCCCTCCTCCTCCTCCTCCTCTTACACATAAATACAATTATACATATTGTAAATTACCTAGGATAACCCAAAAAATCCAAACAAAGTGCCAAACTCAGCTTGAAGATGTAAGTAAAGGTGATGATGACACAGTCTTGTGGCTCTCTCTGAGACAGAGCTAGACGGATAGACAGAGAGCTTGGCAGACAGACAAATAGACAGACAGAAATGTTTGTGTACCAGCAAAAACAAAGGGAGGGGGATGGTCGTCTAATCTTTTCTTATCGGCTGCCCCCTCCCTCCACCCTCCTTTACACTCATCAAACGTCAGCTCTTATCAGATGTTATCTCACCTTATCTTGTGACTGTCATGGGGTGGACTTTTTTTTTTCTTGCTTCAAGGGAACAATATTATTATATCTTCTTCTTCTTCTTCTTCTTCCTCTTCTTCCTCCTCCTCCTCCTTTTCCTCCTCTTCTCCTCCTCCTCCTCTTCCTCCTCCTCCTCTTCCTCTTCCTCCTCTTCCTCCTCCTCCTCTTCCTCCTCTTCCTCCTCCTCCTCTTCCTCCTCCTCCTCTTCCTCTTACTCCTCTCCTCCTCCTCCTCCTCCTCCTCTTCCTCCTCCTCCTCCTCCTCTTCCTCCCTCTCCTCCTCCTCTTCTTCCTCCTCCTCCTCCATTGCTTTTGGTCTCAAACTCCTCGAAATCATAAAATTGACCTTCACTGACACTTCCATCTGTGTTAAAGCATCACTTGGGAACAGAAGAGTCCCAGATTTGCTGGGGAGTCACATATTTCTGAAAAAGGACAACTGAAATGGCATTCCCACAATGCACCACTGGCTCCCCGATTTTTTTTATATGGTGCACACTGACCATGGAGACCCATTCTCTCACATGTGGGCCTACCAGCTTTCTCCTGCTTGATTTGAAGCCGCTAGAATTTAGGCGTATAAATACGTCAGAAACAGTGGTGCGTAAGACGTATATATATGGCGTAAACAGTCAAAGGGTTAAGCTATGCATGCCATTGTGAAAAACAGCAGATAACTAGTAAGAAATATATGGAAAACTATTGAAAAAATGCAATCAGATCATTTTAAAAATTTTGCTTTTTGCACCTGAAAAAAGGGGTCATGACATTCGATTGCCACTAAACAAAAGACTTTTTGTTAAAAACAAAACAAAACAAAAAAAACAGACCTGGAAAAGTGATGAGGCATCTCCAGCATGGTCATTCCTTCTTGCTAAAGCTTCTGTCAGCTGTGTATGTTGAGCCTCCCAGCGGTTTACTTCTTCATGACTTCGTTCAACCTCTCTAATCAATTCAGCTCGGCTCACACCCTCATAGTTATCTGTTCACCAAAAAAAATGCAAACTGCTGTCACAAAACAATGTATGTTTTTCATTTATTTTGCAAAAAACTTTCAGTACAAATTTGAGAGGGACATTATGGTAAATTAATGCTTGCAATATAAATTTTAATTAAACTGACTTTTAGCTTCATCCGAGACACCTAGAACTCTTTCTAGGTCTGCTTCAAGCTTGTCCTTTTCTATAGCGAGTGATGAGACCTGGTGACCCAGTCGAGCATTCTCCTCCTCGAGCTGGGCAAGGGCATGTCGCAAATTGGTGGTCGGAGACTCCTGACCATCGCCGCCATCTCTGCGGCACCGCATCCCTTCCCTACTGTCATGTCCACCTCGCATGTTGGACCAATGGGTAGTACTCAAGACCTGGGTATCTTGCTGAGGTGGTGGTGGTGGAGGCTGCTGATGTTGATGAGGGCTTTGGTGGTGCGGAGATGACTGCTGTGATGGTTTCTGATACTGCTGCTGCTGCTGAACTATATTTAACTGATTTCTTAATCTTACAACCTGCAATGAAAACAGATATGTAAATATAATACAACAGCATCATTTACTGGGTCAAAAGTTTCTTTGAACAGCCTCATCAAATCTGAGCCAATGACAGGATGTTTACATATTCAAAGACAGTATTTTACTTGTTTCCATGCTAAATGGAAGTATTCAATAAGATAACTATGCACTGTGATATACAGTAATATAGTATGTATTTGGTATATCAGTGATGGTGGTGATTTTTTTTTTTTAGGGGGAGGAAGGGGGGCTCACCCTGCCTCGGTGGGAGATGGCCAGTGTACTGATAAAAATATATATTAATTACTGTATGTATTTACCTTCCATGGAGGCAAAGAAGGGAATGTATGAGAGTATAATTGTACCAACACTCTTACATGGGTGTGAAGCATGAGTTGTAAATGCTGCAGTGAGGATGCTGGAGGCAATGGAGACGTCATGTCTAAGGGCAATGTGTGGTGTGAATGTTATGCAGAGAATTCCATTATTCAATTCAATGAAACTTATATTTATTTCACTAGTAAGCCTTCCATTCTATCAACTGACCACAAAAAACTACCCATTCAACTATCAATTTGGCCAATTTTTACAAAAAACTAAAAAAAAAAAAAATCCAGTTTAAAAAGTTAAAAAACAGACCAAAATTAGACACTGTAAACATACTCTCACCTCTTGATAATAGGTTTCTGCTTCAATTTTCATTTCATTTAGAGCTGTAGCCTTGGTTGAGGCCTGAAGCTTTGCTAGCTCAGCTTCCTTTTCCTTCAAGGTAGCCTCCAGGCGTGACACTCTCAATTTCAAGCTTGACACGAGAGAGGCTCCCTTGTCAGTTAGCTTTCTCCGAGCCTCATCGTTCTGCAGGGTTAGTAAAACACAATCACGCAACTCAAAGTTAATATTATTGGCTCCCAGTTGAAAAAAAGAAAAAAAGCCGCAATAAATTTACACTAAGATATGCTGTATTTCAAAAAGAATCAAATGGCCTAATATACAGTGGACACCTGCTTTACGATCAGCTCCCAATGCGACCAATTATGTAAGTGTATTTATGTGAGTGCGTTTGTAAGTGTATGTTTGGGGGTCTGAAATGGACTAATCTAATTCACAATATTTCTTATGGGAACAACATTTCGTTCCAGTACTTGGCACCTGAACATACTTTGGATGAATAATATCGTAACACAGGGGTCACTTTAGTATACCTTAACTATAAATAACAGCATGGATTATATGTAAATACGCAAATATTGTGCTTTGGGGGGAAGGAAGTAACCGATGTAAACGCCATGCAAATCAAGTTATTACTAAAGCAAAATTATTTGCTATAACGGTTCCAAAAAAAAAGTCAACAGAGTACTATAAATGTCACTACCACTTGAAAAGTTGTGAGGAAAAAAATTCAACATGACGATGGATGCCGTAATAGTTATAAAAGTAATTCTTTCAACAACTCACTGACCCACCTTGCAAGTACTGCTTTATGTTCAATTTCACACAATTATTTACAGTTAGCTGACTCACGCAGACTTCCACGAGCTTAGTAGCTGTAACATCCTCACGTTAGAATCACAACTGGTTGATCAGGGGAATCATGAAGGAACCTAATGAAGCACCATCTTGAAAGCAGTTTAGAAGGCTCGCTATTCTTTACGATGAAGAGTGGATACTACATGAAAGCCTTAAGCAATAGGCTTTTTGAATAAAATTTTTAAATCTTACTTTTGCAACCAAGTGCATAGGAAATTACATTACAACCTACAATTAAAGATACGAGTAGAGAAATTATATGATATCTTAAAATTTTTATCCAGTCTCGCTATTTAACACTTTGAAAGGCACTAAGTAAAAAAGGTTGTGGGACAAGATACGCATAAGAAGTTACTAAAATTAGAGCCCATTTAAGTAGAGTCAAAGTTAACTTTATTATCTTTGCGTTTGGCACTAAACATAACCTCTTTCTTCATGTATTCTTGCAGTTACCTACTGTCATTGATAATAATTTCATACACGCTCAGCTCTATTAGGATCAGCTCTATAAATGGATATACCATCCAAAGGAAAGCACATCAATCTGGTAATACCCTAAATGGGACACTGCATTAAGAAGTTACCAACAACAAGATTCATCATGCACATCATGGAAATGTACAGACAACAATAATAAATAAAGGTGAATATAATGGAGATTTAAGACATGCTGTCTGTCAGGGTTCAAGGACAGTAAATACAGGTTTTACAACAGCAACAAACAACATGGGGGGCCCTTGTTATTCTTCTCATCCCTTGATGGTGGCACTCACTATTAGCACAAAACTATGACAAGTCACAACCAATACAGGAACTACCACAACATTGTAATTTGTAAAATAAAAAATTTCCTGACACTGAGCAATGCAAAGAATTTTTAAATAATTCATTAGCAGTCTCTAATAACCTTAGCTGGATCCATTAGCTGGTCTATCTGACGATCACGGCGTATCAAATCTTCCTCAAGGCGTCTGCTGCGGGTCTTCAAACTAGAATTCTCTTCGCGCAGCTCGCCAAGGCTGCGTCGCAGCTCTTGAATCTCCTGATACTGTTCTTCCTGTGTAACAGGGAAAGAATATTGTTTATATTAACAATTCTAATGCTATGTTCTTAGAATTTTCTAAGTTTTATGCATCGAACAAGATTTCTATAACAGTACAGTAATATACAATACTTTAAAATGTATGAACATGTAGCACTCAAACTGCTTTATTTAATGTACTAGTAACAAGCATTAAATATTACTTCTATAAGACAACTATCACTAATTAATACACAAAACAATCTGACCTGTGACTTGTAAGTGGGTTTCCCAGCATTTGTTCGCAAGTTGCCAGGGCGTCCACAGTGTATCTCTGTTCTAGTGACGAGGGGCTTAACGCCTCCAACGTCAATATCTGAAACATTAATAACACTGTAAAGAAAAGTCTCAGTAAGTTTAAAGTTTTAGTTTAACCTGCCTTACCAGTGTTTAATTAATGACCCAAACTGAGTCAAATTGGAAAGAAATTATAGATCAAATTTTTAATACACAATGAATTTTTTAATTACATTAGCCATCTCCCACCAAGACAAGGTGCCTCCATCCCCCCCCCCCCCAAAAAAAAATACACCATCATTTATTCAAGAGCTGCACTGCGAAAAGTGAACCGACATTACAATTCAAATAGCCTTCCAAATTTTCATCCCCACCTCTGCTTCAGAGTACAGGCACTGTACTTCCCATCTTCAGGATTCAAGTCCAGCTAACCAATTTACTCAAATCTCTTCATAAATTTTGCATTACTCACACTCCAACATAATGTAAAAGCCTTAATTATATTTATCCTCACTTCCTGCAATCTAATCCACTCACATATCAGCTGGTACTACTCTAGCCTCTACACTACTTTTATCCTTCTTTACTTCCCTCCTTCCAACTCCTCCTGAGACAATCCTTGCCTATCCTTTCTTCTACCATAAATTTATGCACCCCTTCGTAACTTTACTCTGCTCCATCTTTTCTAAATAGCCAAACCATCTCAAGAAACTGTAATACATCCCCACACTGACTTCGAACTCTGTACTCCTAATTGTCTGCGTTTTTCAAGTTACACATTTATCTCAAGCATGACATAACTGCCTTCCGTGCTCTTCATCACTGCAACACTTAAAGAACATGTCTCACAACCATAAAAAAAAAGTGGGTTGGTGTTACTACACTGGTCCATTACCCATTTTGCCTCACAGATAAAACATTTTTTTGCTATCAACACCTTAATATACCATCTACCTTCATCAACACCTCAATATACCAGCTACCTTTTATCCCCTCATCTACTCTATGGTTCACCTCATCTTATACCAACTCACTTGCTGACAATGGTATCTGAATACATTCACTTTCTCCATATTCCCTCCCTCAGTTCTGATATTCAATAATTCATTTCCTAATCTTTTCATAGATCTTATCACTTTGCTTTTTCTTACATTACCCTTCAATTTCCTTTTACACACACTCCCAAACTCCTCCTACCTAATGCAACTTCTGTTCAGAATCTCCCAAAAGAATTAAGTCATTTGAAAAAATCAACTATGACAATTCCCACTTATCACTGTCTTTCAATCCCACACTTCAACATGCCAGCATTAACTTTTGTCATAACCACATCTATAAACACAGTAAACCCTAGCTTTAACAGATCTTTATTTAAAGTATTTTGGAAATACAGAACAATATCACCTGGATTAATAAATAAATTCTAAGACAATGGACAAATCCATTATTTACAGAATTAGCCTTAGTTTTGCCATGGTCATAATGACAATCTAAGCTTTATTCAGCACAATCACTATAAGTGACTACCCACTTCCTCCAGTAGCCCATTAAATGAGGTGATATTAAACACCATAGTGATATTGCACATACTGTCTAAGGCCTACTTTTAGTGGTAAATATTCTCATTCTCTCCTACATAAACTAACCTGTACTTCACTCTCTACATAAAAAAAAAAATCACTGCCTCCCTTTCATCAATATTTAACAATTCCTCAAAATATATTTTTACTGTAATACTAATTTAAGTATGTATGTATATACTGGAGCACAGTACAACATTTTAATGTACAGTGTATATACTGTATTTGCAGAATTTTCTCAGAGCACAGCATAACAAGGAAGAGATACACACTATACATCATATTAATGTACCAAGATTAGGCATATGCCATCAAGAGGTTGATTTTTCATTAATATTAACTTACAGTAATCAGCCAAATATATCACACAGTATAATTAATCTTTACAATGGTAAGCAACGTTTCACACATACACACACAAGCTTCATTTTTTGTATCAATTACTGTATTAAAAAAAATGCCAATTAAACCAGACCATGAGAAAGTAAAATTAACTTTGTCATGAGTTCTTAACTTCATGCAATATCCAAGATTAAAACCTAAATATGCCAGACTAACTTAAAATTGTAAGACCATCTACATCCACAAGATGCTGATTAACAACTATCAGTAAATTGCAGGAAATAAATGGAATATATAGTATTAATAATTCTTTTATGCAGTGCCCTGTTATGAAGTGCACAAATATTTCCTGCAACATACATACATATACTTATTTATAGTTTAAAGGAATAGAAAACTTGTCTATTAATTTCAGTTAAATTTTATATTTTTACCTAAAAATCATGGAGTTAAGTAAAAATTTAGCCCAGCCCTCTAGGGTGCAAGGCACACACAGCATCACACAGATGCCGTGGTAACATGATCCACAGTCACTTGTACGTACAGTGGACCCTCGACCAACGATATTACGTAATCCGTTCCTGAGAGCTCATCGTTAATCGAATTTATCGTTAGTCGAGTTAATTTTCCCCATAAGAAATAATGGTAGTCAAATTAATCCATGCAAGACATCCAAAAGTATTGAAAAAAAAAAATTTTTTACCACATGAAATATTAATTTTAATACACACAAACTGAAGAAGACATGTACAATTACATGACACTTACCTTTATTGAAGATCTGGTGATGATTGATGGGATGGGAGGAGGGGAGTGTGTGGATGGTGTTAGTGTTTAGAAGGGGAATCCCCTTCCATTAGGACTTGAGGTGTCAAGTCCTTTTCCGGGGTTACTTCCCTTCTTTTAATGCCACTAGGACCAGCTTGAGAGTCACTGGACCTCTGTCGCACATTTCTGTCCACAGAGGCCTGTACCTCTCGTTCCTTTATGACATTCCTAAAGTGTTTCACAACATTGTCAGTGTCACAATTAAACACCTGTTCAGATTTCAATTCTTTACTGTCTATGTACTCCTTGAATTCCTGCACATATTTTTCAGCTGCTTTTTGGTCCGAACTGGCAGCCTCACCATTCCTTATCACACTATGTATGCCACTATGATTCTTAAATCTCTCAAACCAACCTTTGCTGGCCTTAAATTCACTCACATCACTAGTTGCAGGCATTTTTCTAATTAAATCATCATGCAACTTCCTAGCCTTTTCACATATGATCGCTTGAGAGATGCTATCTCCTGCTATCCGTTTTTTGTTTATCCACACCAATAACAGTCTCTCAACATCTTCTATCACTTGCGATCTCAGTTTTGAAAACAGTTGCACGTTTGGCAAGAACAACTTCCTTGATTGTCGTTTTCTTGGCCACAAGAGTAGCGATGGCTGATTGGGGTTTTGTGTACAACCTGGCCAGCTCGGAGACACGCACTCCACTTTCATACTTAGCAATGATCTCTTTCTTCATATCCATAGTAATTCTCACCCTTTTTGCTGTAGGGTTGGCACTAGAAGCTTTCTTGGGCCCATGGTGACTTATTTTGCAGGTGCAATCACTAAAAATGCTGTGATAATATGAAATGTTCCGATTGTATGTTTGGATGGGACCGTGGTGGCTGGCTGGCTTGTAAACACTGGCCACAAGTGGACGCATCTCGAACGGAACGAATCGTGTTGGTTGAGTTTTTTAGCGCTAGTCGAGGCAAGATTTTTGTGTTAAAATGTATCGCTAGTCGGATTTAACGTTAGGCGATGGCATCGTTGGTCGAGGGTCCACTGTACGTACTTTTGTCTAAGATACACTTAAATTATACGACATCAAGAATATAATAAAAAATTCTGCCATATTCCTCGAATTTACATTTGTTGCAGAAAGACTGAAGGATGTCATGAGGCACATTACCAGGTTGTGAGTGACACGGGATCTGGAGTAGCTCTGGGAAAAGGTTGGACAAATACGTGAGTGGGATAGTTGGATTTGAGAAGGACTTGCATTGTATGGGTCAGTAGGCCTGCTGCAATATTCCTCCATTCTTATGTTCCTAAACTATGGCTCAGAATCAATCAGAATCCAATGATTTCAGTAATAGACTGTATTCAGGTTAAAATATTATTTTCAATAAAGCATTAAACTGTGGTGGATAAAATAGTGCAATTTCAACATCTTTTACCTGTTAACAGTGTGGCTGGTACAGCTTGTGTGTCCTAAACACTGAAAGGACAGGAATGATTCTTGCAAGACTTTTTTATTGTTACATTTATGACACTGCATTTTTTTATGTATACTGCATACAAATTGTGATGGGATGGTGGTACTCCAAGTAAGTCAAAAAAAATTTGGGAAAAACCACAAATTTATTGAGTAATTTTTATTAATTGCTAGTTCTATAGAATACATATTTATTGTTATTTTGATGCCAAAAATGCATATAAATTTAAAAATAAAAAAGGAAAAATGATGAACTGCCATAATAATAAAATTAGCTGTTTGTCAGCAGGTAACTAATTATAATGTCCATTACTGTATTTCTTAATTCAATCAAAAAGTCACATCTTAATAACCACGTTTTACACAGGAAAATCTAAAATTAAGATATCATTACATTTGTTATGGGTGAGCCATAAACAAATAAAATATTTTTTTTTATTCTTAACCCTTTGACTGCTTCAGTCGTCTTACGAGCCACTGTGTTTGACGTATATATACTCAAATTCTAGCGGTTTCAAATCAAGCAGGAGAAAGCTGGTAGGCTCACATGGGTCTGTGTGGTCAGTGTGCACCATATAAAATAAAATCCTGCAGCACGCAGTGCATAATGAGGAAAAAAAAACTCAGACTGTTTTTTTAATTAAAACTCCGACTTTGTGGTCTATTTTCATATAGTATTTATGGTTGTACTCTCGTTTTCTTGGTCTCATTTGATAGAATGTAAAACATATTATAGAAACAGAGGTGATTTTGATTAGTTTTACTATGAAAAGAACCTTGAAATGGAGCTCAAAGTAAGGGAAATGTTTGATTTTTGCCAATGTTCAAAAGTAAACAAATGATGTCATTATCTAATAAATGTCTAACTAGCCACTCTAATATGCAGTCATGAATGGGTTGACATTATTTATACAATTATTACAATAATGCAGTAGTCTGCATAACAGTATATCTTCTATTTTTTGTTTGAATAAAAATTCAAATTAGAAAGCAAGAGTAATATCAGAGGGGCCTGGAGACATGACTGATGAACAAAGAAAATGTTATTTTAGAGCCAGGAATGTCTGCATTGTGTTCATTCTGGACCCTATTTTGAAATTGGCATATTTTTTAATTTGCGTGAAATTTGCCAAACTGCCAATTTCTGACCACTTTACTGGGTAGTTGAAATCGGTAAATGGGCAGTTTCTTGTACTCAATCGATAGAACAAATGGAGTTCTAAAGAAACAGTTATGAGTTTGGTCAATTGGAACATTGGAATTAGCCAAAAATAGGGCTCAAAGTGGGGGAAATCACCAATTCCTTAATATCGCTGAGGTCACTAACTTCGCGAGAGTGTAATTCCATAAGCTTTCCATCAAATTTCATACTTTTGGTGTCATTACCATCGGGAAAAGATTCTCTATCATTTCATAAGAAAAAATAATTTTTTAAATTTTTGCGATACCTGAAGACACCTCAGGATTTGGGGTTGCGACAGTCAAGGGGTTAAACTAGTGGTGCAAAAAAATTTAACTTTGAATCCTGGAAGTTCAAGAATCTCTCTCAAACGTTTTTACGGTGAACTGTAACATTAGTTTTGCAATGTTTTATAAAACAAATTTGATCTATTATTATTATTATTTAAAAAATTCTAGATAGTTTAAAACCCTTTCAGCTCAACATAGGTCTGCCAGTATATCAACATTAGTTAGCACATCAGAGTGCCTTCAGAGGTCTGCAAAAATTAAATTTTCAAAAGTTATAATAGAGAACTCTTCTTCACGACACAAAATGTGGCTATATTTAAGGTATATAAATTTATCATCTTAGAAACAGTCAGGTACTGGTAAAGTTTAAGGGAAAAGTACCTTGGATTTCATCACAAATAAACTCTGAAGACCCTGTTGCTAGAGCTGTGTTTGTAATATAATTTAGAATGTAAGTGCATTACAGTATAAGCAAAGGAATACCATTTTAAAATTTTCAAGTGCTAGGTGATTATTTTATTAAATCACAAGATTTTTAAAGTGCATATGAATTGCTGTCTCAAGGAATTCACAAGTGAGGCACATGAGTGTGTGCAAGAGAATATCATAATACTATATACAAGTGACTGCCATATATATACAAAGTCAGTCTACAAAGTAAACTAAATGCACACCAAGATATGCTAACAACTATGCACTTAAGAAAATTTTCTACACCATACCTTTTTATTACATACAGCTGCAGTGCAATATAATAATAACTGTGCCATTCATGCAAATAAACTTAAGTGCTATGTGCTATCAAGGTATAATAATTCACATTAACTAATTACTGATTATTTGCATTAACTGCTTACTCTTTCCGTTGCGCATTGTCCTACCACTCAGACTGTCTCGTCTAGCAAGGAGTGGAGGGGCTCGGCTCTCTAGCGTCATCGTGGCTGAATTTTTACCATGACTGATGTTAGCTGGCAGGGACATTGCCACTTTAATGGAAAGTTAGTTAAGAAAAGATGCCTTATAATGAAACATAATGACTTAGCACACGACAGGAGAATGTATCTTCAAAGTCTAAATACATTATACCCCATTTTCTGATATACTATTCTGAATACTAAAATTATCAAGCAGCACTTAGAATCAAAATTGTAAAATTTCAAAATTACATTAACAAATAAATCTAGAAAAAATCAACTCAGTCCTACTGACAGAATTATCTACTTTCCCTCAAAAAATGTTGCAGGAGAAAAATTTACAATATATAACACTATACTGAAAGGTTTCTAAAACACTTGAATGCAGTTTAACAGAAGCTTAAATCTTAGAAGAAATCTTGAAAATATCCATACTTTGTATTAATTAAAAATCTACAGCAACTCTTTACTCCAAATAAAAAAAAAACTGGTTTAAGAACACATTGAAGAATTATTAAGCATCTACAGCAGCTCTGACCAGAACACAAATCAACACAAAACAATTAATATAGAAGTAGTGAAGAAAGACGCACACAGCAAAGAACTTCTTACTTTTACATTTTATTCACTAGGACTTTAGCAAGTGCAAGGAGTACACGGAATCAGCAGTACATAAAGCACAGAGTCAGTTGGCACCAAATGAAGGAGAGGTTCAAATTTGGAGGTCAGACAACATTGGATGGGGTCATGCTGTAGCAATTTGTTTTTTTATGTTGATCCAAGATGTGTTCAATTGGTTTTCATCAAATATACAGCCTTCTAATATCTGCCCTATGGTATCAGTATGAACTTTGTTTTATTCATAAATGTTTCATGTAATACAGTATATGTATCATGCATGTGCTGTGTGAAACACTGCAACACAAACCCACATCATGAACTGGAATTGAACACATCTTATTTATCAAGAAAATGAGAAGTCCAAGAAGAGGTGACTAAAGGCTGCCACTATTCACCTTATTTACAACAGAGCAAATCAAGAGGGTTTTACATTTTATCAAAGCAATGACATACATCTTTGATCAGCACAGAAAACAAATTACTGTAGCACGAGTCTTAGAACCTGACCTCATTCTGCGCTGTCTGACCTCCAGATCCGAAACTCTCTTTCGCTCGACGACTCCTGACCCGCACCTGGATCTTTGTGCTTTATGTGTTGCTGATTTTGTATTTTTATTTTTTTTTTTTAACAAGTCGGCAGTCTCCCACTGAAGCAGGGTGACCCAAAAAGAAAGAAAATCCCCAAAATGAAAATACTTTCATCATCATTCAACACTTTCACCTCACTCACACATAATCACTGTTTTTTCAGAGGTGTTCAGAACACAACAGTTTAGAAGCATATACGTATAAAGACACGCAACATATCCCTCCAAACTTTATAAAAACCCCAGGGAAAACCATTTTATAAATAAAAATTTCTTTGCTATATGAGTCTTTCTTCTACTATTGATCACCATACAGCCACTGTTCTACAAAACAGTAAATTCTTGGTAATAAAGTGACAAAAGAAGAGGATAATATATGTACTGTACTATTAAACATTCAGTATTTTCAACAAGATAACCATGCATACTTAATTCTAAAACTTCATACAAGATATCTTCAACCTTTTAACATATTCTTGTGTCTAAGTGCATTTCTTAAACTGGCATAACCAGGGTTCTCACCAGGAAAAGTGGACCTAAAGCTTTTGTTATCCTAGCTCAATGATGGTGATATAAACCAATAGTGATAATACTGTTTTAATAAAAAAGGTTAATCCTTTAAGAGTTATTCAATAATGCATATACAGGATACAATGGGCATTTAGGAGGGAAGGCAAAGCAGCACAAAAGTGCAGCAACCAAAGCTGGTGAACAGCAACTGCAGATTAACAACCATAGACACACATTATCAGCAAACATGATGCATTCAGAGAGCTGATAAAGTAAAAATACCAGGACACTGGAAGAGGTAGAAAATAAAATTAGTGGACAGAGATCTGCTGATAAATAGAGCAATCAATAAAAGAGCAGCATGGGCAGTCAGTGGGTCCCCCATACAGTAAAATATTGCAGCCCTGCAGTGATATAGCCATTAGTGAATTTAGTATGGCTAATGTACAATCATAAAAGAAGAGTCTTCCAAATCAACTGATGATAAGGCAAAGATGGCTAAAAGTTTGTATTTTTTAAGTATGTCAATCCAAAAAAAAAGTATTTATATATATTTTTTTTTTTTTTTTTTCAACAAGTCGGCCGTCTCCCACCGAGGCAGGGTGACCCAAAAAAGAAAGAAAATCCCCAAAAAGAAAATACTTTCATCATCATTCAACACTTTCACCACACTCGCACATTATCACTGTTTTTGCAGAGGTGCTCAGAATACAACAGTCTAGAAGCATATACATATTTATATTATATTTATATTATACTGATAAAATATACAGTACTGGGGAGTACCCTGAAAATGCTACCATATTTGAAATTCTTTACCTTATATCTTGCACACCTTCATAAGTCTTAATATTTTTAAAATAGTTAAAATGTCTGAAGATTCTATTAAGTTCCATTACCTCAAGAAAGTGAAGTTCCCAAAGAAAACCAGGCATGAAAAACACAGTAATCAAGATAGAATTACCAATAATATGTTAGGTAAAAGGACACCTGTGCAACTAATGTAACATTTTATAGTGGCAACGTTTCGCTCTCCAGGAACTATGTCAAGCCGTTATGGCTTGACAAACCTCCTGGAAAGTGAAACATTGCCAAAATAAAATGCCACATTGGTTCCACATGTGTGTCCCTCTACCTAAGAAGAAAAACAGAGGCATACATAGACACTGCCTAATTATATTATTTATATTACAAATAAGATCATGTTTACCAACTTACTGTGCAATAACAAAAAGTAAGTAAAAACTAATTACTACTTAAATTCAATTAATGACATCAAATATTTTTTTCAGTATTCCTTGAACCAGATTTTACAGTATTTATTATCTTTGAGATAAACAATAAGTTTAAAAAAAAAAACAGTACTATACTATGAAAACACATGGTTAAACAGTACATAACAAAATAATTTTGAGAATAATATAAAAATTAGTTTTCTCAAGACAAACAAGTAATGCCCTCGTCAACATAAACGAAAAAAAATGGGCACCAGCACAGACAAGAGCATAACATACATCTCAATGTATGTCAGTAATAAAATTTAATCTACTTTTCAGCAAACATTCACTTTGTACACATGACAAACTTTAGTTCAAGTCCCATACATTCCAGAGAACGTGAAATTTTAATCCCAAACCTCTATGCTTACACATGTTATTGTAAGGTACAGCATTTGTTAGCCTTGTCAACTGAAAAAAATTAGAAATACATACATATGTATATGAAGAAATTAAAACGCTGTATTAAAATGTTTTCATGCAATGCAATCAGTTCTGTCAGATGTTTACTTGCATAATCATTACTAACAGTACAGTATTTTGATTATCCAGGACTACACAAATAGAAATAAAAACATCACAACTACACCATATTACAGTATATTACACTTGGATAACATTCTAAAGTTAAACATGTGACCTGTAATAACTGAAAAGCTGCATATTAATAATGGAAAAAGTCATCATTGTTAGGGCAAGATAATGAACAAGTTCTGGATAATCAAAGCACTGCTGAGCTGAATTACTTTAACAGTCAGCTGACCCACTTCAGTGAACCTGGTGAGAAGACGGTAGTAGCCACAGTAGCTGCAGCACTTAATGTGACATCTTGATACCTGTGTTTGATACAACAGTTCCTGTCAACATGTATCTTATATACTGTATATCTACATATAAGGCAAACAATAATACTGCACTACCAGTGCACTATATTACAGCACAGTTAAGCATCTGCATAAAGTCTTAGAATCAATATGTGATGAACGATCTTATTACTGGCCATTCCTGAAAATACTCAAATAAAATAGGGTGAGCTGCTAATCAGCTAAAAGAATTATTAATGCAATAACTAGTAGTATGAAACTAGAAGTAAATCCATTGCTAAATAAAAATAAAATAATGAAACCAGCCTGTAAAGACAATTTTAAACAGTGACCATAGTCACATGGCAGAATAACTATAGTACTGTAGAGTGATAATAGTTAAACTATATTTTAATATTACTGCAGAGAACACACAATAATCTAAAGCAGGGGTCCCTAACCTGCAGCCCACATGTGGCCCTTCTAAGAAAAGAATGTGGCCCTTGCATGAAATTATATAGGTTCCATGCTGGTGTCAACAAAATCGTGCAGCGCTCATCACACATATGACCATCAAATGTGGCTCACTTATGTAGGAAAGTCAAGGACAACTGATCTAAAACCCAAAACAGACTATTCTAACATAAAATTGACTTAGTTTTATGTTGAATGTATTGAATTTATTTTTATTTTACATCTCAAGGATCTAATATACAGTGTTACTAGGACCTTTAATAATAATAATAATAATAATAATAATAATAATAATAATAATAATAATAATAATAATAATAATAATAAAAATGTATTTCTACAAGTACATGATACAGCACATACAAACCTACCTGGAGAGGGTTTCAGGGATCAACGCCCCCCACAGCTCAGTCTGAGATCAGGCCTCGTGGCAGATCAGGGTCTGATCAACCAGGCTGTTACTGCAGGCAACGTGCAAACTGATGTATGAACCACAGCCCGGCTAGTAGGTACCTGACCAGCCGGGCTGTGGTTCGTACATCAGTTTGCACGTTGCCAGCAGTAACTTTAGTTGCCTATCCAGTGCATTCTTGCAGAAGCCATGGGTTTATTGGTAATCTCCCTTGTGTATGCTGGGAGGCAGTTGAACAGTCTTGGGCCCCAGACACTTATTTTGTTGTCTCTGTGTACTCGTGGTGCCCCTGCTTTTCATTGGGAAATGTTGCATCTCCTGCTGAGTCTTTTGCTCTCACAGGGACTGATTTTCGTGTGCAAGTTTGGTACTAATCCCTCTAAGATTTTCCAAGTGTATATTATCATGTATCTCTCTCGCCTGTATTCCAGGGAATACAAATCAAGGGCCTTCAACTGTTCCCAGTAATTTAGGTGCCTTATCGTAAAATATAGAAAGTCCCTGGTTAGATAAGATTTTGTTCGGATTTTTTACCCCGGAGGGTTAGCCATCCAGGTAACCCAAGAAAGGCAGTGCATCATTGAGGGACTGTCTTATTTCCTTATTTCCACTGAAGTCCTCAATCTTGTCACCCAGGATGCGACTCCACATCAATCTACTAACACCCAGGTACAGTACCTACTTGCCGGGGATCGAACCATGGTCACTCAGTGTGAAGCAAGAGCATTGCCTACCAGGCCACGGGACACCATTATGATTATGCAGAGCATTTCGGGCAAATAAGGTTAATTTTGTCCCCAGGATGTAACCCACACCAGCTGGCTAACACCAAGGTACCCATTTATTGCTAGGTGAACAGGGACAACAGGCATCTTAAGGAAACACACTCAAATGTTTCTATCAGTATCAAGGACCTTAATGTGTGAGATGAGTGAAAATAAGTCACTCACTTTTTTTTTTGGAGTTATCCTAGAGAATTATACATAAGTTACTATGTATGATAATTGTATCTATGTGTACCTGTACCTAAGCAAATTTACTTAATCCATGAAACATCACAATAGTAAAATCTAAGTGTCCAGTCTAGTAGGGTGAGTGATATCAACTAATCATATTACAATATAAAATATAACGAGATACAATAAGAATTAAAAGAAAGATGAAACAAGAATAGGGATATAATTGGATGAAAACAACAAGTTTCTGGATTTATCACAAAGATAAGGAGGTGGTATTTAACAAGGACCACAATGAAAATACGTCACTGACTTTTTTAGGTTATCCAAGGTAATTTACACTATGTACAAAAATTGTACTGATGTACACTTGTTCCTAAATAAATTTTGCCTTTGGAATCTTCAAGCAGTTATGTACATAAAATTTCGAATGAAGTTATTGCCTAACAAATCTTAAACTAGTCAAAGTTTGCCTGAGATACTCCACTATAGGAGCTTTAACAGAAACTATGTATCATGCCAAGACAAAACCATACTCATTAATAAATTTACAAATTGTAATGTAGTTACCTAGCTTTAATATCAATATACTCCATAAATGTATCAATATTGAGTTAGAATTAGTATTATTCTGGCCGAAATGCCTAGTCATGCTAGGCATGATAGTGGCCCTCTTTGTAATTAGTATTTCATAATATATAATCCACACATTGTAACCAATATTTCATACTATGTAAACCCCATTTTGTAATATTTAGAGAAATAAACTTCGTATTTTTTTTACACCCATATGTTAATACCTACATGTTTATAAATTATTATTACTGAGAACGAATATCCAGTGTTTCTAGCAGTGAGAATGATTATTATAATCATGGGGAGCGCTAAACCCGTAGGATTATACAGCGCATGTGGGGAGGATGGGAGGCATTCAGGCTCAATTCAAGGAACTGGAGCACAGATCCAATTCCCTAGATCTAGAGCCCCTCACCAGCGTCAAGGAACCTCCCTTGAGGGGTGAGAATGATTATTGTTTCTGGTATTAGTAACATTCCATTCATTGAGGAGCGCTAAACCCGTAAAACTACATCTGATGAATGGCAAAAAAAAAAAACATCAGATTCGATCCAAGGGAGAAGAGATTGATTTCCTGGGATCACGAGCCTCCCTCACCTGCATCAAGACACCTTGAAAGAAGAGTGAGTAAGAATACATCAGCATGCAGGGAGGTTACCAGAGTAGGTCACTATATTGTAGCTGCTCATCCTTGTACAACTTTCCTCACACAACTATCACAAACAACCGAACTACCACCATCCCTGGCTAACTACCTTCACAAGGTGGTTGTCACTACCTACCTGATATCATCTCACGGGTGAAGACTCATCAGAGTGAGTCAGAGTGTCAGACAGGAGCTGCAAGGAAGAAGGAAATAAGGTGGTGGTTGCCAGTGGGTGTCCCCGGCACTGTGCTGATCACTGTCTTGTGCTGCCACCAACACTCATAACTTTATTCAGTTTAAGTAAGTTTATTCAGCATAAGTAATTTTATTTAGGTATACACAAATAAAGTTATATAGATTATAATTATCATACATAGCAACATATGTGTAAAGAACCTTGGATAGCCCAAAAAAGTTCGAGTGACTTATTTCCATTGGGGTGGTGATTAATTAACAGTGAAGGGAGTGTACTAGAGCAGTGGTAGACTAGTAAGTTTATTCAGGTATACACAAATACAGTTACATAGAATTATCATACATAGTAGCATATGTGTAGAGAACTGTGGTCATAAATGAAGGAAGGGTGCTAGAGCAGTGGTAGACGGTAATCATTAATGAAGGAAGGGTGCTAGAATAGTGGTAGACGGTAATCATTAATGAAGGAAGGGTGCTAGAATAGTGGTAGACGGTAATCATTAATGAAGGAAGGGTGCTAGAGTAGTGGTAGACGGTAATCATTAATGAAGGAAGGGTGCTAGAGTAGTGGTAGACGGTAATTATTAATGAAGGAAGGGTGCTAGAATAGTGGTAGACGGTAATCATTAATGAAGGAAGGGTGCTATAGTGGTAGACGGTAATTATTAATGAAGGAAGGGTGCTAGAGTAGTGGTAGACGGTAATTATTAATGAAGGAAGGGTGCTAGAATAGTGGTAGACGGTAATCATTAATGAAGGAAGGGTGCTAGAATAGTGGTAGACGGTAATCATTAATGAAGGAACGGTGCTAGAAGAGTGGTAGACGGTAATCATTAATGAAGGAAGGGTGCTAGAATAGTGTAGTCGGTAATCATTAACCCTTTGACTGTCGCGGCCGTATATATACGTTTGCGAGGTACCGTGTTTGACGTATATATACTCATAAATTCTAGCGGCTTCAAATCAGGCAGGAGAAAGCTAGTAGGCCCACATGTGAGCGAATGGGTCTGTGTGGTCGGTGTGCACCACATAAAAAAAATCCTGGAGCACGCAGTGCATAATGAGAAAAAAAAAACTCCGACCGTTTTTTTTAATTAAAATGCCAACTTTGTGGTCTATTTTCGTATAGTATTTGTGGTTGTATTCTCGTTTTCTTGGTCTCATTTGATAGAATGGAAACTATATTATAGAAATGGAGGTGATTTTGATTAATTTTACTATAAAAAGAACCTGGAAATGGAGCACAAAAGTACAGGAAATGTTTGATTTTTGCCGATGTTCAAAAGTGAACAAATGATGTCATTGTCCAATAAATGTCCAAATAGCCATTCTAATACGCAGTCATGAATGGGTTGATGTAATTTTTACAATTATTACAGTATTGCAGTAGTCTGCATAACAGTAAATCTTCTATTTTTTGTTTGAATAAAATTTCAAAATAAAAAGCAAGAGTAATATCACAGGGACCTGGAGACATGACTGATGAACAAAGAAAATGTTATTTTAGAGCTAGGAATGTCTGCATTGTTCATTCTGGACCTTATTTTGAAATTGTCATATTTTTTAATTTTCGTGAAATTGGCCAAATTGCAAATTTCTGACCATGTTATTGGGTAGTTGAAATCGGTAAATGGGCAGTTTTTTGTACTCAATCGATAGAAAAAATAGAGTTCTGAAGAAATAGTTATGAGTTTGGTTGACTGGAATAACGGAATTAGCCAAAAATAGGGCTCAAAGTGGGCGAAATTGCCGATTTTTAAATATCGCCGAAGTCGCTAACTTCGCGAGAGCGTAATTCCGTCAGTTTTCCATCAAATTTCGTTTTTTTGGTGTCTTTACAATCGGGAAAAGATTCTCTATCATTTCATAAGAAAAAATATTTTTTTTTTTTTTCGAATATTTTGCGACACCAGAAGCAACTTCAGGATTTGGCCCTTCGACAGTCAAAGGGTTAATGAAGGAAGGGTGCTAGAATAGTGGTAGACGGTAATCATTAATGAAGGAACGGTGCTAGAATAGTGGTAGACGGTAATCATTAATGAAGGAAGGGTGCTAGAATAGTGGTAGAAGGTAATCATTAATGAAGGAAGGGTGCTAGAATAGTGGTAGACGGTAATCATTAATGAAGGAAGGGTGCTAGAATAGTGGTAGAAGGTAATCATTAATGAAGGAAGGGTGCTAGAATAGTGGTAGACGGTAATCATTAACGAAGGAAGGGTGCTAGAGTAGTGGTAGGTGATGGTAATGGAGTGTTATAGTAGTGGTAATGGGTAACTGGTAATGTGGGGAAGTGAACTGTAGTAGGTAATTAGTAACGGTGGAAGGAATGGGTGTCAAGGGCAGTTGGTCTTTCCCTTTCTTCGGATCAAACCTGATTACCTCCCAGTTCCCAGACTGCGACTCCTACGGCCAGACATTTGCAAAATGTATATTGGCATTTTAATTATAATTGTTATATTCATTGGTACTCGGGTTTAAACCAAGGGAGGAGAAGGTAGCTCCAGGTCCTCGGACCAAGAGCCTTCCACCTGCTGCATGTCATATATACTGAGGTAGGTGTGAGTCATGTGCCTGGGAGTCTAGTTACTCGAGGTCATGTCTGCGAGTCTTGTTCACAGGAAGTCTGTGGTGGCTGCTGCCGGGTTCACTCCCATTTCCTCTGTTGAATTGTTTCTTGTGTATTCTAAAACTTGAATAATATTATTACTATTATTATAAGTTAATATTAACTCCTGGTCTGCGTTGATCAATAATATATTCACTAAAATGTCCAATATTAGGTGGGTTATGTCAGATCATTTTGTGGAAATGGTAAGAAATCTTAGGGAAATCCAACCTAAAATATTCTAACATAATTTAACCTTATTCTGCCAGCGATGGATGAAGGAAATGACGTGGCTTTGTTTACATTCGATGCCTCATTTTTTTACCCTTCTGTTATAATTATTATTATGGGGAGCGCTAAACCCGTAGGGCTTATAGAGCGCCCTTGGGGGGGGGGGGATTGGAACACAGAATGAATTACTACTGTGATTAGACTGGCACTTGACACGACTCAATACTAACTGTTGAATGGCTCTTGTGTGCCACTCGTGCCAGAATAAATGTATTATTTTTCTTAAAATCTCCGAAAATAAGAAATAACAATTATCGCTAGGGTTACATTAACATCCTGGTGTTTTAGCTCGCATAATACGTGAGTTGGACCAGGACATTAACGGCATAATGACATTATTCTTAGCATTAATGATCATAATCATGGAGAAACCCGTACGGTTTATACAACGGCTGGGGATACAGGAGACAGGTTCAATCCTTGGATCAAGAGCCCCTCAACATAAGGTACATCAAGTATAGCCTAGTTTATAATGAGTGCTACACTGACAATGAAAATAAGTCAATAATTATTTACTTTATTGGTCTTCCTAAGTGATATCTTAATGTATTCTCACATCTATGTGATGTCAACACCATTGTAATAATTTATACATTTATTGGTAAAGTGTAGTGTCGTACACACAAATTCGCAACCTTAGCTGTATTCTACCAATATTGTCACCTCTCAGCATGTGCCACATTAGACAGCTTGTAAAAAGTGGTCAGAGTTTATCATTGTTCAGTACAGTACGGTGAAAAGCTCTGTTCCACAAGGCACAGGACTCGCTCCCATCTTGTTCCTCATCCTCATATCCGACATAGACAAGGATGTCAGCCACAGCACCGTGTCTTCCTTTGCAGATGACACCCGAATCTGCATGACAGTGTCTTCCAATGCAGACACTGCAAGGCTCCAGGCGGACATCAACCAAATCTTTCAGTGGGCTGCAGAAAACAATATGAAGTTCAACGATGAGAAATTTCAATTACTCAGATATGGTAAACATGAGGAAATTAAATCTTCATCAGAGTACAAAACAAATTCTGGCCACAAAATAGAGCGAAACACCAACGTCAAAGACCTGGGAAATGATCATGTCGGAGGATCTCACCTTCAAGGACCATAACACTGTATCAATCGCATCTGCTAGAAAAATGACAGGATGGATAATGAGAACCTTCAAAACTAGGGAGGCCAAGCCCATGATGGCACTCTTCAGGTCACTTGTTCTATCTAGGCTGGAATATTGCTGCACACTAACAGCACCTTTCAAGGCAGGTGAAATTGCCGACCTAGAAAATGTACAGAGAACTTTCACGGCGCGCATAACGGAGATAAAACACCTCAATTACTGGGAGCGCTTGAGGTTCCTAAACCTGTATTCCCTGGAACGCAGGAGGGAGAGATACATGATTATATACACCTGGAAAATCCTAGAGGGACTAGTACCGAACTTGCACACGAAAATCACTCACTACGAAAGCAAAAGACTTGGCAGACGATGCACCATCCCCCCAATGAAAAGCAGGGGTGTCACTAGCACGTTACGAGACCATACAATAAGTGTCAGGGGCCCGAGACTGTTCAACTGCCTCCCAGCATACATAAGGGGGATTACCAACAGACCCCTGGCAGTCTTCAAGCTGGCACTGGACAAGCACCTAAAGTCAGTTCCTGATCAGCCGGGCTGTGGCTCGTACGTTGGTTTGCGTGCAGCCAGCAGCAACAGCCTGGTTGATCAGGCTCTGATCCACCAGGAGGCCTGGTCACAGACCGGGCCGCGGGGGCGTTGACCCCCGGAACTCTCTCCAGGTAAACTCCAGGTAAACAGTACAACCTCTGTATTCGGAAATAATTGCTTCCTGGGAGTGTTCTGAATATTAATTTTTTTCAGTTTTTTATCAAATTCCTTTTCAGTTCAATGGTGATTCTTACAGCTATCCTTTGAGTTTTTTCTTCACTCTTCTTATTCGAGGCCATAATCACTTTCAATAATAACATAGTTATACAAAAAATGAGTTGAATTACAAAAGCTCAATCATCTTTCTCAATATAGTGACATTTGCGAATATCGGTACTTTTTTCCCTCGATTTGTTTTACGAATAAATTTGCATCTGAATACAGAGGTTCTACTATAATTATATTTCCCAGATGAAGTGTCTTTAAGAACATAATGGAGGAACACTGCACCAGGCCCATACTAGGCAGGTCCTTATCAAAACAACC